TGATGTAAATAGAAAACTTGAAACATCCGGTGAAAGTATTAATTCTATGTGACTCATTATTGATCAGTTATTTCAGTTATTCTTGACTGAAATAACTAATCAACAATGAATCGCGTAGATCAGTTATTCCTAAGAATCACTTCTTTAAAATTTATTTATGCTATCGTCAATTAGATATAATAAATTACCATACTTATATGAAGTTCTGATCGTGTTGTAGTTTTTGAGGAAACTTATACCGCGAACATACAAGATTTAACGGGGCCATATGATCATTGTTACGGCTAGTCGAATTTTAGGTTCTTGGTTCGGAGTAGTAGGGTTTGTTTTGTTGTGTTCCAAGTTTAGTTCAATTTCTTGGTGATGAAATTGTGCCTCAATAAGACTGTTTGTTTATTGGACAGATCATATAATCAATCAGTCAATTGATTTGTTTTTTGATTCAGTACATTTTAGATTAATCATTATATTGAACTTAGTGGATATGTTGCAGAATACGTTTTCTATAAAGTTTCGTGTAATGGGAACGTTAATTTAATATTCAAAATGTATTACATAGAAAGTAAAAATATTTTCAATGCTGACATTTTTTGCTGTATGTGATTTCTAATGATGAGAAAGGAATGAATATGACACTCAAAGATTGTATTTTCTTCATGTTATCCTATTTAGCTCGCTATAAAATGTACATTAAATTTCTTTAGCAGTTTCTTCTGATTGAATGAATCGCTTTGAAGGCATATTGAATAAACTTTGACGTAATTGTGTGGTTGACATTGTGCGTTTTCATGGATGTTCATTATGGAAAGCGCTGCATGAAATAATTCAAATGATCAATCCGAATAATTTGTTCAAATTTACTGGATCATTTTTTGCCGTAACTTGAACTGTAGAATTTCTCATTAAAATGGAAGATGTCTTCAGGATTTTTGGATTCATTGGATAGGTTGGAAAGTTACATAAAAAATGGCAGAGCAAACGGAAAGAGCGTTCCAGAAACAGCCTACTGTATTTTTGAATAATAAATTGCGAACCTTAGGGATTGGTAAGAAATCGAAGAAGGATGTACGTTATGTTCGAAACGTTGGATTGGGCTTCAAAACACCACGTGAGGTGAGTACTACGACGACTTTGGGTATCTTACTTTTGGTATATGTTTTCTTGTCATAATTCTATCCTATTGATGCTTTTGGATAGTATACTTCTGGCTGTTTATAGCGCTTAGATTAGATGCTTTGAAGACACCTTCTTTATCGACAAATCATGTATATTAATATTCCAATACCTTCAACAAAGAGATTTGCGGCCTATTTTTAAAGCTCCTTGAAAAACTATTGGGAACTGTTTTTATCCATTTCTGCTTTTATTGGAGGTATTGGAATAATAGACTAGGAGCAACAAAACTCATGTAATGCGTTTCTGGATATTTTGTGTTTGATTCAATTATAGGCCATAACCGGGACATATATTGATAAAAAATGTCCATTCACTGGGAATGTTTCGATTCGTGGACGTATATTGACTGGTGTGGTTGTGAAAATGAAGATGCAAAGGACAATAGTAATTCGACGAGATTATTTGCATTTCATTAAAAAGTACCGTCGATATGAGAAACGTCATCGTAATATGTCTGTTCATTGCTCACCAGCCTTCAGGTTAACGACTTTATGGTTTTTTTTTCCATTCATAAATTTTTCAACACTGGAACATCCATTTCCTCGTTCTTTTCCCTTTTTCTCCGATTTAATTCTCTGTGAAGCAAATTTAAGCCTATCATTTCTTCAGTTATATTTGTTCATTTCGGTTTTATATTTACCAATGGTGTTCGTTCCGTGCCATAAATGTCATTGTTTAACTATGTAAAAATTTTCACACCCTTTAGTTATGTTTCTGACAGTTCACTGGTCCATCTTGTCCATCAACCCTTCCAATAAATTTGTAAATATATTAGCGACTCTTTCAACAGTAATTTTTTCAGAGATATAGCAGTAGGAGATATTGTAACAGTTGGTGAATGTCGTCCATTGTCGAAAACCGTGCGATACAATGTGTTGAAAGTTTTGAAGGCATCAGGAGCTAAAAAATCTTTCGACAAATTCTGATAAAAATATTTTCGTTTTTCTGTTGTTATTTGACCTTCCAATAGTAAACTGTTATTATTGGCTTAAAGTCCTTACGTAAATCGGTCAATTTTGACTTTAGCATGAACAGAACACACGTTCCCGAACACACTGTGAAAGATTTAATAGAGAGAAAATCTATTTTTTTGTTGGAAAAAGCAATAAAAAAAAATGATACCGTGCTAGCTTCTAAATAATTTTGCAAACGCATTTAGAATTTATGAAAAGAAAGTATGTATCGTTGTAAAGGAAGTGAAAGTTCCCTTGAAACTAATAGTGTGATGTGGGCCTAGACTTGATTAATCGTTTCTAAGGATATCACAGCTTGGTTTTAGATTTCTTTGCTTTCGTGTCTTTTCATTTGGACAGCACTGCGATGAGTGAATTAATTTTATTCAATAAGCTACTCAAAATCTTTTATAGAAAGATTTAAAATTAATTTCGGCAAAACTTTAAATTTTCAACTCCTGGCACAAAAGATTGAGTCCCATAAAATTTAATTTCAACTCTTCGGCCCATAAAATTTAATCCGTAAATTTTGCAAAGAATTTGAAGGCAGATCGTTTGCATTTCTATGATGAAATTTCTAAACAATATATTTAACTATAGCACAGTTTACTGCTGTTAGACATGTCTACGGAAAAATTATTCGTTGGAATTATCATGTTACAAAAGCGTTGATCAGGTTAACGGAATAAATTCGATGGCAATTTTGTTTATGGCTTACTAAAGTGGTCATATATATATATAAACACATTTATTGTTTGGATTGTATTACTCTTGCTGGTATTGTTGCCGTCATTTGTCGACATTTCATCAATTTCATATGATGTGTGTGTGTGTGTGTATGTGTATGTGTGTTATGTTCATTAGAGAGGAATAGATTTTTATGGAATTTCATTATTTTCGTAGAAGTGAACTTTTAATTGATAATAATATAGAGGTGAATTTTAATTAACAATGCAATTCAAATGCAGACAAAATAGCTCTAAAGTGAATTCTTAGTAGTTATAATTACTTCTACATTATTTTTACAATATCAAATATTTTTACAATATCAAACAAATTTCTGTTGAAAATTATCTCTTATTAATTTTGATAAACTCCGCGATTTTCGTGTTATTCGCAGCAATCAATATAACTCACTTTATTCCTTGCCGAGAGATGAGCTGATTACTGCTAGTAAAAAGAATTATATGATTGTTGAATATAACAATCGTTAATTCATTTCACGATACCAATCGGTAATTTATTTTAATTGATTCAGTAGTCGAATTCTGTTTACTTCCTGTTTGGATGACGTGCGAAAAATTGAACTCTTTTTAAACGATCTATTTTTTTTTTTTTTTTTAGTTCAAATTCTTGAAATTAATAGTGTGTTTGCTAATTTGATGGCAGTGATCGAAGAATAAGAAAGGGAGAGAACAAGGAAATTGACAACGATTGCAACTTTTTATTACATTTTTTTTTCTGAACTAAATATGTAAAAAATTTCATACACAAACTGCAATTGCATCTCCAGGATAAGTTGGAATACAATTTTGCAATGAAGGAGGGAGTTAAAAATTCAATGTTTGTATTTGTATTAAATTCACAGATACTACTTAAATTTAAATCTATTGAATTAAGCTATGCTATTATTATACGATTGTTGGCAGGTTGCATAGAATGGAAATCAGCCTGATTGCTATTTTTATAATAGCTCATAAATTAGTTAATGATAGAGTCAAAGTTCTGCTACCGATAATTTGACTTCATCAATTTTTCATTTTTTGTTTTCATTTATATGATTATTTATGGAAATTACGATCTATTGGCATTCGTTTTCCTTTGGATTGAAAAAAGATTTTTTTTTCTAAGCTATCAAAAATATCCAAATGTTTTGGAAAATTGAAATGATCTTGTCCAAAGATCATGAATGGAAAAGTGGAAAATTGATCTTCGTTTTAAAGTATAGAAAAGTAAAATATAGTTAGATGGAACCAGAAAGTCTTCAAAAAATTTGGTTTCCATTTTTTGTTTCTTCTTTTTAAACTACTTTTCACTGAACACGTATACATCCGTGACTTAAATACAAAAAGTGTATTTACATACTTGCATGACTTAAATACGGAAATGTGGAATTTTTCTAGTACATTGTAAATTTCCAATTTTCTTCTCCTTCTATGATAAATAGGTATATTATTTACCTGAATAAATAGCAGAAAGAAATTTCAAGTGTTTTTGCTTTCGGAAATTCCAGCTTCTTGAAATTTTTTTCCTCAAATTCTTGAAAATTTTCTTGTTAGCTCGATAAATTTGAGATTTTACATTTTTTAAATTTTCATCATACCCCATATTTGAGTTTGATTTAAAATTTTCAATTTATAGTATTTGTGAGTCTTCCGATATTCCTCTCTATCTTACAATCCATCACAATTTAAAAATAAAAAATAAAAAATTCAATTTAACTTTTATTAATTACTGCTCTTCTTATGTAATTGTTAAAAGCTATGTATTTGGAAAAACAAAGTTATTTCCCTAAGGCTACTAATAGTTCATAGTTTTTCAATGATTACAGAAATAGCAATCTCCATTCGATTTCTTTTCTAAATCACAGAATAGAATTAATGTATGCGAGATTAGCTATTTCGAACTTTCAAGCCAAATTAAATGATAATTAATTCAAGAAATCAAGTAAAAAAAATGACACAAAATATAGCTGATTAATTATTCAATTGACAATATTCATGATGAATAATCTTTATAATACAAATTTCTATAAAACATTTTATATTATGATTTTTATATTATGAGATTATTTCGGAAAACTGAAATAATTTTACAATATAAAGCGATTGAAATATATGAATAAAAAAGTTACATCGTACATCGGTGCACTTACTTCTCGAATAAATTGTTCTTTATATCAAAAAAAAAAAACTTTTAACAAAAAATGCTATTTAAAAAAAAAATAGATTGATCTTTCCATTTCCAGGTCAACCATTCATTTTTCATTCTATCGGGATTCTACTTGACAAAATTGTTCGTAAATTACAACTAATTGACGATAGCAATTAGTTGTAATTTACGAACAATTTTATAATAATTAAAATCATTCAATAATCAAAATGTCTTTCGATTTTTCATGAGAATTCACAATTCTCGTCCTGTGCATTAAAGATATCCGGGGAGGAAAATCCCCTTAGCATTATCCTCGAGAATAACACACCTACTCATCTAACATTATCCTCGAGAACAGATACAGACAATTAGACATACCTATCATTATCCTCGAGAACGAATAAAAACAGACGATTAGATGTATCCAGATTGGGAAGGAGTGTTATAATCAGGAGAGGTAACAGAGTAGAGAAGAAAGAAAATATCGTTGAAATTTGAGGAGACTTCCAGAAAAAGTAATCATGATTGTAATTATGAGGTGACAGAAAACCAAAAGATTATTAGAAAATAGGAGAGGGGAGAGATTGATGAGATTTGCAATGGAATGATGAAATGAGAGAAATTTACAGAGATTCATAATTTACTTTTAATTGCAGAGGTATAAGATTATTGAGATTGGATGACGAGAGTTCATGACCCGTATTACCTTGTGGTAATCCAACAATCTTCCTCATAAATTATAAATTTTAGAGAATTTATAATTTATTATGGAAGAAATTGAAGTATAACTTTTTTATGTGAAAATTAAAGAGAGAAATAATGTAAATATGTTAGTTACATGTCGATTGTTTGTGCGCTATCCAGAAATTATTTTTTTTTTTGATCTAATTTCATTATTCAATTTTTAGTTTTTAGATGGCTGATCGTTGTATCAGTTAGTTGTACGGAGGAACGTTGGCTAACAAGGTATTGTGTATACTTGGAAATTTATCTTTGTTTCACTTATTAGAAGATATATTATTGTGTGGTTTTCTTTTTTTTTTTTNTTTGTTTGTTCGTTCATCTATAACAATTTACTTTAGAGTTCTTCCAATCGATTATCAAATTTAATCGGTTTATGAACGAATGAAATGACAGCTGCGAAATATTTTGGGGAAGAAAAATTAGAGGATGCAATTTATGCGATATACTTACGTAAAGTACGCTATGTATCACCAGTAAACGTTGAATCTTCGGTACTTCCATTTCTGCCTTTTTTTTTTTGATGGATTATTCAAGATCAAAGCATGCCTGAATGATGAATGAAAAAAGAATACAGGCTTGATGTTAGAATTCAAATTAACTTAAATTAAAAAGTTATCATTCATCAAAGGCATGTTCACATCTCATTGCATTTCTTTATTTTCATTATTGCAAATCGGCATTTTTAGGATGATGGTGCAGTGGATGTAAAAAAATATGGTTGTTCTGTAGATAATATATCGGATCACTTGCATTGGGAAACCATTCGAGAACGAGTCATTCGTGCTGGAACATTACAAAAATTAGTTGTGAATTTTTATTCTATTATTACATTGTAATAGAGAGAGGGAAGGATAATTTCTGAAGACAAATATCTTTCAGAAATGGAAGCGATATTGTCTTTGATTTTTTGCAGTCATAGTTGAGTTATTACGAAATGAGTAGCTTGCAAGTCATATCGTTGCTCTTAAAAATCAAATATAATGAAAAGTTATCTTGATTAAAGTCGAATTGTTCCTGGCACGAAATAGGAAAAAAATCTTAGTAACAATTTAAAGATTTAAAGATAAAAACAACAGATTAATTCTGTGATTTTTTATTAGATCTTTTTAAACTATCGCGAAAATAATAGAGACATCAGAAGTCGTTGCTCATATTGATATTTTGTTTATTTTTTTTGATTCATTTAATATTTTTGATTTCCAGGAGTGCCTTATAAGTGATGATATGTTGATGGATTCGAGACATTTTAATGTTTTTTTTGCCACTTATCGTTCTTTCGCAACATGTTCAAATGTACTCGAACTTTTACTTCAACGTTATGTGTCGCTTGATATGAATTCGCTAGTAATTGGCAA